TGGATGAATGTTCAGTTATTTAGTGCATATACGATTTGGGAGCTAAGTTAACGTCTAATTTTGCATTTTGCGATTTTCATCTCTCCTTGGGGTGATGAAAAAAAAAAGAGAGAGAGAGAGAGAGAGAGAGAGAGAGAGAGAGAGAGAGAGAGAGAGAGAGAGAGAGAGAGAGAGAGATCATGGTGAGGGGAAGAAGATGATGAATTGTTGAGAGTACTACGTTGGCGAGGAGGTGGGCTGGAGAGGGTAACGGGGAAGTGGGACTCGGTGGAGCTTGAATGGTGGGGTCAGGGAAAAAAAATGATGGCATGACGGAGGAGAGGGGTTGAGGATGTATATGTGTGTGTGTATGTGTGTATATATGGGGGTCATATATGAAGACGTTGTTGGTATATTACGACGTAAGTGACACTCACTTCCCAACCTTGTACAAATGTAAGATTTTTTATGTCTTTATTGCTAAAATTGCCTCACATTTACAGACCGGTCTTCCACATACATTTGTGACGATATCGTTGTTGTTGTCGTATTCCGCCATAAGTGACACCCAGTTGCCAACTGTGTTGAAATGTTGCAGTTACACTATTTGGTTCCTTTCTCTCTCTCTCTCTCTTTTTTATTGTTTTCACCGTATCACTGTCACCCACGCTTGTGACGATTTGGTTGGGAAGTGGGGGCCGTATATGAAGATGTTGTTTGTATATTACGGCGTAAGTGACACCCAAATCCCAACCTTGTACAAATGTGAGGTTTTTTATGTCTTTATTGTTCAAATTGCATCACATTAACAGACCGGCCTTCCACATACATTCGTGACGATATTATTGAGATGTCGGGCCCGTGTATTAATATGTCGTTGTCGTATTCCGCCATAAGTGACACCCAGTTGCCAACTGTGTTGAAATGTTGCAGTTACACAATTTGGTTCATAAGTTTTTTTTTTTTTTTTCTCTGTTATTATTTTGACCGTATCACTGCCACCCACGCTTGTGACGATGTGGTTGGGAAGTGGGGGCCATATATGAAGACGTTGTTGGTATATTACAATATAAGTGACACCCACTTCCCAACCTTAAATGTGAGGTTTTTTATGTCTTTATCGCTCAAATTGCATCACATTTACAGACCGGTTTTCCATATACATTTGTGACGATATCGTTGAGATGTCGGGGCCGTGTATTAATATGTTGTTGTCGTATTCCGTCATAAGTGACACCCACATGCCAACTGTGTTGAAATGTTGCAGTTACACAATTTTTTTTTTTTTATTTTTTTTTTTTTGTCTCT